TCTTACTGCTAATTTACGGGTAATCTCTGCCTAGTGGTTATTGTTTAGTTGCTCTTACTGCTAATTTACGGGTAATCTCTGCCTAGTGGTTATTGTTTAGTTGCTCTTACTGCTAATCTGCGAGTAATCTCTGCCTAGTGGTTATTGTTTAGTTGCTCTTACTGCTAATTTACGTGTAATATGTTACAGTTGAGTTGCTCTTATTGTTAATTTAGGTGGAATCTGTGCCTAATGGTTACTGTTAACTTGCTGTTACTGTTAATTTACGAGTAATCTATGTCTTCTGGTTATTGAGTTGCTCTTATTGCTAATTTAGGAGTAATATATGCGTAGCGGTTACTGATGACTTGCTCTTACTACTGATTTACGTGTAATATGTTATTGTTTAATTGCTCTTACTGCTTATTTACGAGTAAACTATGTTTGGTGTTTATTGTTGAGTTGCTATTAATTCACGAGTAATCCATGTCTTATGGTTAACATTAGTGTTAGATTGCTATTTACGAGTATTCTATGTCTAATAATTTACATTAGTGTTAGACTGCTATTAATTTACGAGTAATATGTGTCTAATGGTTTACATTATTATTAGATTGTTAATTGTTATTAGTTTACGAGTAATATGTGTCTAATGGTTTACATTATTGTTAGGTTGTTATTAGTTTACGAGTAATATGTGTCTAATGGCTTACATTATTATTAGGTTATTAGTTTACGAGTAATTTGTGTCTAATGGTTTACATTATTGTTAGGTTGTTATTATTTTACGAGTAATATGTGTTTAATGGTTTACATTATTGTTAGGTTGTTATTAGTTTACGAATAATTTGTGTCAAATAGTTTACATTATTGTTAGGTTGTTTTTATTTTACGAGTAATATGTGTTTAATGGTTTACATTATTGTTAGGTTGTTACTAGTTCACGAGTAATATGTGTCTAATGGTTTACATTATTATTAGATTGTTTACGAGTAATTTGTGTCTAATGGTTTACATTCTTGTTAGGTTATTATTAGTTTACGAGTAATATGGGTATAATGGTTTTCATTATTGTTAGGTTGGTATTAGTTTACGAGTAATATGTGTCTATTGGTTTAGATTATTGTTAGGTTGTTATTAGTTTACGAGTAATATGTGTCTATTGGTTTACATTATTGTTAGGTTGTTATTAGTTTACGAGTAATATGTGTCTAATGGTTTACATTATTGTTAGGTTGGTATTAGTTTACGAGTAATATGTGTCTTATGGTTTACATTATTGTTAGGTTGGTATTAGTTTACGAGTAAGTAGGTAATAAGCTCAGGTACGAGTGCACTCGGCAGTTTGTAATTATTCCAAATGTTATCCGTATGAAACAACGAGTGTATCAAGTGTTATCCGTATAAAACAACGAGTGTCATCTGTTTCGTGCATATGTTGTGTTAAAAAAGCTCTGATTGAAATTTACACTACTGCTTAACCTATCAATATGGTGCGAGTCAACAATAATGTAAACCATTAGACATATATTACTCGTAAACTAATACCAACCTAATGATAATGTCAACCATTAAACACATATTACTCGTAAACTAATACCAACCTAACAATAATGTAAACCATTAGACACAAATGGTAATGAAATGGTAAATGCCAAACATTTCTGTACACATTACAAACCAGTTTTATACGTAAAACACGAAGCTGACGAACATTGAGGCAATATATCACAAAACTTAAGAACAAATTACTTTCTTATTTGTGCTCGCATTGCGAGGGAAAAATAACAGCTGAACTAAATACATAAATAAGCATCTCTAAGTTGTTAAGTAGAGTTCGTATCGGAAATGGATTAAGAGACGTCGCCACGTGTACCAGCTGTAATACCATGCTCGTGTTACCACCAGTTCATAACTTTCAAGGCTGCCGTTGACCTCCACGCTGTGGCACGCTAATATTCCGAGAAGGAATTTAAACCCTGGAGCAGTTCCTGTAATGTAATTTTTAAAAGAATGATGGATTACGTGTCCATATGGTACACTAGCTCTTGCAGCGTGTTTTAGAATTCCACTGCAACTGCTTTAGAACTTCAATAAAACGACAGGCTTCGACTGAAAAACCAACTTGAAAATTGAATAAGGATGAAAACAGAGGTAACCTGTTATAGCCGTGAGGACACAGCTGGCGAGCGAAGAAAACGACATCGTTCAATAACACAGGCACAACACCCGATCAACGAGAGCCGTAAATGTTTAGCGCGTGCGGGCAGTTTCCAATAACGACCACGGACACGATGTCGAAAATGAAACACGCGTTGAGTGTCACTTTTCACAAGTGGATATTTTTTTTAGCTTTAACGTTGCATAATATGACGTCAAGGAAATAAAAGGGGTGGGCAGTTAAAAACAAGACAAGAAAAAGAAAAAAGAACTCAAAAGAATTGCTAAAAAGAGAAAAACAACTGATGAAATAAGATGAATAACGCCAATATAAAACATTTGTTCTTAAGGTTACAGTTATGTGTCCACCACAGGGATCGAACCACGAATTTATCATTATAAGTTCTCAAGCTGACTGTTGAGCCACAATAACAATATTTTATGTTCTATAAGTTTGTATGTTTGTTTTAATTAGCACGACCCCACTTATTAGAAATGAAAAGCACCGGAGAAAGTTAATTCCATTCTTGGAAGGTCTGGAAAGTTCGGAGGAAGATCATGTCTGAGTGAATTATATTTTTTATGAGGGTGCCATGGTAAAATTATTAATACTTTTCAGGCTCAACCTTAAAAAATTCCAATATGTAAGTCTGTCTACACCTTTATAAATATAGCACGATAAGCCATGTTCTGTAAGGATATGAACGGCTGATTGGTGGCCTACACAAGCTAATAACAGAATTGATAACTTAGAACCCCACTCCCTCCAAAAAAATAACAACAAAAACAAACACTACGTGACTCTACCAACAAATGAATGTAAACTAAACACGTGACTATGTGTGGGTTTTAAAGGTAAGGTTGGCACATACACGAAGAAGTTTACTAAGTGGCGATGGAGTGACTCCGGTGGACAGTGGTAAGTCAATTAGTCAAGGTCCCCATAGAGAACAAACCTATGGACTGGAACTTCAAATGACCATCGCATTCAAGTGCACTGTCTAAACTGAACTTAGTTTTGACATGAGGTTTAGTCGTGACAAGTAAACAATTATTCCACGTCAACGACCTCCTTAACACTGTAACAAAATTTATATTGTTTGTTTCAGAAGTTTCACACAAGAGCAATAGCATTTGCGCATAGCCGTTCTTAATTTTGAACTTGTGGACGAGAGAGAAGAAAGCTCTAGTCACCAGCACTCACCACCAATTCTTCAGCTACTTCTGTCTGACCAATCAGAGATATTTAATTGTCACAGGAACATGATTTTTGTGTTTGCGAGATGCGAACCATGTATGCTCAGGTTCACCCAGTATCATCTATAAAGTTAGAGTTCTCTTACAATAGCTTTCCTGGTGGCCAGATACTTAAGTAACATCACCCCACCATGTAGTACCTTAACTTCAATAAAGGTAGGGTTGTCTTACTATAGCTTTCCTGGTGGCCAGATACTTAAGTAACATCACCCCACCATGTAGTACCTTAACTTCAATAAAGGTAGGGTTGTCTTACAATAGCTTTCCTGGTGGCCAGATACTTAAGTAACAACACCCCACCATGTAGTACCTTAACTTCAATAAAGGTAGGGTTGTCTTACAATAGCTTTCCTGGTGGTCAGATACTTAAGTAACATCACCCCACCATGTAGTACCTTAACTTCAATAAAGGTAGGGTTGTCTTACAAGAGCTTTTCTGGTGGCGGCATACTTTATTATTGAATGTTTGTTTGTAATTAAGCACAAAGCTACACAATGGGCTATCTGTGCTCTGCCCACGACGAGTATCGAAACCCGGTTTCTAGTGTTGTAAGTCCGTAGATATACCGCTGTGCCACTGGGGGGCATTATTGAGTGACATCAAAACACAAAAGAATGTAATTTCACTCAGGCTATTTATGTATTGGGTTTTTCCTTCAAATTTTATGAGATAATTTGTATTCGTGGCCATACACACTAATACTCAGTTTAGCCTGGTTGATTGTGGGTATAGATTTTTAAATTCCTTTACACTCCAGATCTGTGGTTGCCAACCTTTTCTCCAACTGAGAACCAGATGGTTCTGATCCCAAAATTTTATGGACTGCTTCGTACGATATTAGATTTTACACACTTTTAAATTACACTGTAAAACAAAATATTTTAGTGGGTATGTTTTAGAACTTTTTTTTTCCAACTGTATTGTGAACCGGCGGTTGGAAATAACTGCTCCAGAGTACAGTAATTTTAGAGGAATATCCCGAGAAGGACATTATTTTACGAAAATACGTCACCTTCCTGAATTAAAGTAGAAGAGTTTGTTTGAAGTTATGTACAAAGCTACACAATGGGCTATCTGTGCTCTGCCCACCACGGGTATCGAAACCCGGTTTCTAGCGTTGTAAGTCCGCAGACATACCGCTGTGCCACTGGGGTGGGGGGGGGGGCAAATTAGAAGAGGTGATATGTAGGGAGGGAGTAAATTTGGTTTTAAACATTTTACTTAAGCCCGGGGATGGCTAAAGTTGCTTGCTTAACAAATTAGGTAGAGTTAAGATGACTTGGGCCCTACCCACGAGAAACCCGCTGTGTCCCTCAGTCTGGCGTCAACTGTCTAAGCTGCGGGTGTATGGAACTAAATCAAGTCGCTTCGTATAAAAGTCAGGATGTAATGTCCGACCCCTCATCCTACTGTGAAAATGCTAAGTAACTAAACTGTATAGTGAAAGGCATTATAAGATCCCAAAGCGACATGTTTTAAGTTCTATCATTATAGGATGAAACGCTTTACTTCAGTACCAAACTAGTTACATATATACAACTTAATGAACAGTGCAGTTACAAAAATATACATTTAGACAGACTTATAACATTCCTAATAAAGGTAGTTTGGATCCCCTCTGGTGCTTAAGTGTGTGGTAATAACAGTTAATGCTTTATGAATCTCTAAAGTATATATATATATATATATATACAGATTAAATTAAACTTCTTACTCAACTTTTACACACGCTTAATCTCCGTAAACTGATGACGTGTTGTGCTTGAGCTACACACACACACTGAGCTACCAAATAAATAAATATTATAAGTTATAATATTTTGGCTAAGGCAGTGAAAAAAAAAAGACTTATTTTATAATGTTAACTACCCAACAATCCTCAGTTATTTTTTATGTGTTTGTATTTTTGAGATTTATAGCAAAGCAACTGAGGCTATATGCCACAGAGAGGACGCAGCCAATAAGCAGTACCCTACCACCCACAATCTACACTAAGCTATTGACTGTCACTCTTACAACCCTCAACTTAGAGTACGTAGAATATTTTTAGGTAGCACACGGATTCGAACCTAGTTCGTCAGCTCCGAAATACAAAGTTTTATCACAGGGTCAACCCGTGTAATTTTCATGAGAAATCAGATAATCAGTCTTGTGAGATGAAAAGCAGCTGACTGTCTATTCTCCCTATACACTCGTATATTAAGAGCTGGTAGATGTGGTTTTACGTCTTCACAGCTCATGGCATTTCACTTCAACATGGAGTAGAGTCGCTTTGAAAAGCAAGGGCAACCCGAAACCTATATTGCACCTACAGTGTTTTAAAGTCCTGAGTTATGCTCGACCAATTCTCTGAAAGAACTGTTTCCAGAGGCATCTTTATTTTCTGAAGTCTCTTGACGGAACGTGATTGAAGTCCAATGAGCTTGTTGAACAGTTTAACACAAAGGGGGCGGGCGTTACCTATAAGGCTGAAATCGAGGACAATTCAACCATCATATGGTAGTACACAGAGTCGTACAATGTGGTCCCAATAATGTGTGAGATTAATAATAACATATAACAGGATATAGACAAAGGTTTGTATGTCCACCGATGTTTAATGAATTCTGCTCAAACTATACTTCTAACCCTGTTACATGCGTCACGTTATGGTAAGAAAATGAGGTTGCATCTACGTTCGGATTTTCTCCAAACTATATCCATCTGTTAAGTGGCTGCAGGGTAAATAGCAACTCATCCACAAGATGATGATCCACTAAACGTGTTCTGGCGCCATTGTAGATGAGTTGGATTTTGTTCTTCTGTGAATGGAATACGCTACACTAGGAAATTGGCACACAGGTTAGTCTTTTGAAGTCTGTTTCTAATGGTCTGGACGCTGACACAGCGTTCTGTTTTGACTGTGGACATCTGATTCAGCTTGAAGCAGGTACCATATCACTGTGGCGAGCCAGAAATGATAAATAGTGGTTATATGCTTGTATTAAGATGATAGTCTTTCTTATACAGATGTCTGACCACATGTACCATCCGTTGAAAAGCACTTCCACATTCAGTTAATAACACTTTGCTAAGCGAGTAGCCAATTCACGGCAGCCTACTATGACTGGTTGGCTTCGGTTGGTTCTACGTGTGCGTGAAACATCAAAACAGCTTCTTAAAGACCTGGTCAAGGTAGGATAATTAATTATTTCTCTGGAAATTATTAATTTTCATCAAAATACTGCCAGAAAGAAAGAAAAGAAAACGTGAATAATAGAGAAAACCGCTTGAAACTCCGTGGTTCACTTCAAAGCTACAACTAGAACAAGATGAGGAGATACTACATATTCATAACACAGACTAGATGACCGATCGATCATTTCCATGTTAGTTCACATGCCCGACACTCAAATTAATCACTTGCATAAAAATAAACTTTGTGGGGGGGGGGGGGGGGTGGATTGACTGTAAGTTGAAACTATAAAATTATATATATATATAAATTTTGGCTGTCCAATTAGGCTTAAAACCTCAAAACACTTTCCAATGAAATATTTTATCACTCTCGTACTATAAAAAATTTAAAAACTCATCTAACTATTTCAATTTCGTTTCGGCAGTACAGATGTTGTATTCAAAACATCTCTGACTTGACAGAGCATCCGACTTTTATAAAAGATAAATCATACTGGTTAACTGTATTTCCATTTTGGCGCTCCAAAAAAGCGTGAGAGAGATAAATTGATGGTAAAAGATTATCTCAGTTCTCTCTAATAAACACACGTCTCTAACTATGGTTTAGATAAATCATACTGGTTAACCGTATTTCCATTTTGGCGCTCCAAAAAAGCGTGAGAGAGATAAATTGATGGTAAAAGATTATCTCAGTTCTCTGTACTAAACACGCGTCTCTAACTATGGTTTTACAGTTGTTCTCAACTGTATATACCCTACAGAAGAATAATGGCACCGAAATATCACCCATACGTTTGAAAAAAAACAAAAAACTCCAGCCTTCAAGCTTGAAGTAATATTATCCACGTTAAGAAAGGTAAAGTTACAAATGATATTATATTCTGTCACCTCTGTAGCAATCAATATTTGCAACAACAAAAAAAACCTTCTGCAGTCACGTGATATTGCTGTAAGAGGAAAATTACCTGCGCTGTGCCATCCACAGGATTCGAAACACGAATTTCTGCGTCGTAAGCCCACAAGCTTACTGTTGATACACCAGTTAGCTCTTAAATAAATGTCTGTAATGTCTTTTCTGGTGGCCGCATACTTTATTATTCAATGTTTGTTTGTAATTAAGCACAAAGCTACACAATGGGCTATCTGTGCTCTGCCCACCACGGGTATCGAAACCCGGTTTCTAGCGTTGTAAGTCCGCAGACATACCGCTGTGCCACTGAGGGGCCATTGCGGAAAGAATTACAAAGGCTATCTGTTACTATAAAGACTGATTTCTATACGAACTGGAGTAACTTCTAATACGCAACTTTCTTTTAAAATGAAAAAACAGATGAAAGTAAACGATGCAGCACTGTAGGACCATCGTAAATCACAGTGTACGTTTTTCCCAAGTGGGTAAAATTAGTTTTAATTCAATTTTTAGATACGAATACACGACGCATTTTTGAAAAACTCGAGTTCTATAAGTTTCCGCTGAGAAAAGTAAGTTTTACATTCAAATTATAAATCACAAACGGAACCTGATTTCAAACCTGGAACCCGAAATCTTTACTACACAAATATGGAGCACTAGCAAAACGACAATGGACTGAAATATTTATTGAAAATTCTTTCTATAAAGTATAAAAACTCTTGGT